CATTTACTGTAGATTGGTATACATTATTTCTTGAATTTAAACTATAGAGTGAAATTTGTATATCTTGATTTTTTTTTTCAACTCCAAAATGTCATTGCGTCCTTCTTGCCTCAGGTCATGGTTAAGTTAACTTTCACGCAAAAAAAAAAATAAAAATATGATGTGGTTTTGACATAGATAAGTATTTTAAAAGCCAGACTAAACATTATCATTAGACTATTTGTGAGGATTCCGTGCTTAAAGTGGGCATAGCAGTATTAACGGATAAGAAATCTGGTAGGAAAAGTAATTAGCTGCAGTGGTGGATCAATGTACTCGCTGATACAACCTTCTGATTTCATTAACTCGAGTGTCGTGCTACTTGAAATTAAAATCTGAGGGAAAATTCAGCAACCAAAATTATCTGTAAAATATAGAAATTCTCTCCTTCACCTTCAAAGTAACTAATTACAGTATTAAATTTCTGAAGTTTTGTATTTAGAAAATGTAATTTTACAAACATAATAAAAAACACTCCATGTTCCACTCTTGCTAAAAACAAGTCAAACCAAATAGAAATTTGTAATGCACTTAGCCTGCATGACCTGTTCATTCACCAATAGGAATTCATCAATTTGAGTTATTCATCCAGCAACATAAATAAGTGTTTATTTATGGAACTAAATTGGCTAATACAGTGTGGCACACATGTGTAACGACGCACGGTGATTAAATATATCTGCTAGTAAAAGACACTATCCAATACGCTCAGATCTCAAATGTACAACCTGCTATGAATCAAACAGGCATCGGGCAGTAATCACATCAGTCATTTCAAGTGTTGTGTAGCAAAGTGGGGAACACTTGCACAGAAAGGAACAAAACACAACAACTGAGTCAACATTGCGAGAACCTGTCAACAGCTAAAGACGTTATCTAAAATTTCCGTGAACATATGATGAGATAAGAATCAAACAACTGAATAAATCGCCCGCTTTACTGCTGCTGTGATGTTCGACAAACTGCTTCTTTGAACTTTGTAGCATCATATCACATGGCGGATGAACTAAATCGATAATGGTTGTAATCAGCCACTGGCAATCAGCCAGCGTTTTACTGACTGTATTTTCGTTGCACGGAGATAATATTCAACCCCCTTTTCCTTCATGAAAACACAAGTCAGACGTCGATGCCGTGTCAGAAAGTTCATATTATCTTAGCGAGCAGGCAGCAGATCTTGTAAGATCAGGCGCCATGGCTGTTGCTCATTTGACAGAGCAAAGGAAGAGCTTGTCAGGGAAACAGCTCGTGTCGCCGGTACTTAAAAGGTCAGCGAACTGAACCCCAACCCCTGGTCCGCCCTCACGCCCGTCTGTCTGTCACCAGTTCCCCCCTCTTCCAAGCGGGTCTCCTCCTGCCCTAGTCTGGGCCGCTATCACCCATCGTCGTCCCCTCCGAGCTGTCCCCCTTTGATGACCCAGGCTTCTTGTCAGGGAAGAGCTTCCAGGCAGGCAGAGTGAGGACAGGCCTTTGATGAGGACCCCGTCACTTGCCAGCGCCAGTGACATGCAGCGGAGGCCTTTGAAGAGGCAGGGCCTTACATGTACCCATTTGTCCACACTCACACGTGCTTCAAGCATCCTCAGATGGAGAGACGGAGAAGGAGAAGAAGACGACGATTAGGGCACAGTATTGAAAACGCCTTCCTTTGACTGCCTTCCTTGCTCTCTGATGGTTTTAATGAAGGCATTTGAATTTTTTGCTTTCGTCTTGAGCTCGAGAATCTGCCAGAGTGAAACCACAAACAATAGATGTATCGGGCGGGAGACAAAAAGAGTCCATGATGCTGTCAGAAATGGTAGAAAAGGTCACAGAAGCTTTGTTGTATTTTTGCTTTCATTTTTCTGAACGGATAAAAGCTGAATGGGAGACGTGAAACGTTCCAGGATTGGTTACTTTTTCGATTTGTTCCCGACAACATTTCTCTGTTATATCTTGAGAAATTGTTGTTGAATGGCAGGTGAGAGAGATCGGTGGCTGCTGCTCCCCACAAATAACTGTTAGCATCTCAAAAAACATACTTTGACATGTTTGGTCACCTTAGTACGAGTCTGACTCTCCCCTCCCGATACAACTGTAATTGGTTTAAAGAAATCCAAACACACCGAAGATCTTTCCCCCCGAAAGCAGAAAAACAATGAGGTGCAGTCAGACCGTTCTAACAGCACTGTGTTAGCGCTAGGGAATGGTCTTCCAGTGCAAGACTGCGTTACGACTTTTCTGAATGTGATTTTAAACTGATGGCATATTTCTGTAGTAGCATCAGAAGCCCATACCCTACTTCAGTTTGGGGTTTTAGATCATCCCTGGGTAGATACCATGGATTTCCAGTTGCCATTGGTGTTGACATACCAAAGCAGTACCTCCTACGATTCCCTTTTTTCCATCTGTGATTGACTTTTTTAGCAAACAAACTGAATACATGTTCAAACATTGGTAACTTTGCATCTCTATAGATTTTTTTTTTTTTTACTGATACAACAGTGGGAACGTTGGAATCCCACAAAAAACAAGATGTAAAGTCAATCTTTCAGCTTTCTGAAGGCTGTTCTCATACAAAAGACTAGAACGATACCCAAATCAGAGCCAGTACAGCTACTAAATGGCAGCTGTTTTCAAAGACAGTTGCGGTCAGGCAGCCCAAGTGTTCCTGTCCTCCAGCTGTGAATGCGATTTAGCTTTGCCAGCACAGTGTCATGGCACAACTATTGTTATGTCTGCCTGAAAAGCAAACAGACATTGTTTGACACCACTGCTAAATCACCAGTCAAAACAATCGTAATCAACCACGAATAGACTTCAGACTTGGCCACATCCAAGCGCCGTGTCATACAAGGTAATAAAGTGTGTGACGTCTGTTGGCACAGCTACAGTTGTTGACATCGAATGGGTACTTAAGGTCGCTTGATTTCAACAAATGGATCCCTGTACGATTTCCAGACAGCACAAAGAGACATTCCTTTGTGCTGCACCTGCGTGTGGAACAAAGTTATAACATCGATCCACATTCTTCACCCTGGAAGTCGTGGTTGACATTGGCGATGACCATCACGGGCCGTTCTCACACACATTCGAAGCAGCAAAAGTAATTCACATCACCTTCAAGCGTGCCCAGAAAGACCCATTATTCCCAATGATGCCACAAAGAGCACAATGTTTATTGATAGAAAAGGTGGTGGGGGGGTAGGAGAAAGAACTTCTCATACATTTTCCTCATTCCTCTCTTCTCAATGTGGCCTTTTTAGTCTGGCTATGTGGAGTAATGATTAACACGGTCAGGCATGGGAAGAGACTGGCCGGTACAATGGAGGGGGTTGTTTAGGTTCTCCAACCCGCCGCTTCACCTGTGACAGCTTCCCAAGTTCACCTGGCAGGTCCCTGGGAGCCAGCGGCTGGCATTCGGGCAGCAACAAAAAAAAAAAAAACGGACTACTTAATCATTATCATCTGTGGAATCAGTCAGAAACTCCTGGCAATGAGCAAACAGATAAACCTGGCAACGTTGTTAAATCAGGCACGTAGCAAAGCGCTTAACTGACTGTGGAAAGGTTCACATGAGAAAGCTTTAGAGTGTGTACAGGGGACTTTTGAGCTTTGGGTAGGGTTGAAAAAAACACAATGCCCATGATACGCAACTGATCAATAGCGATTGACCTGTGAGCGAGCTTAGCCTGCAAACAGCTGCCAGCGATATTAACAAGGCAGACGTGGTGCCTCAGCTTTTAGATTTAAGGGCTCTATACTGCACGCAGCATCCAAACTATAGTATGGCTTTCGGGGGGTAGCTCACTTTTTTTTTTTGACTTTTTCATGGTCAGAAACTACAGAAAGCACTTCTTTTATTTAATATTATTCTTTTTTAAATAAGAATAAAAGAACCCGCTGGTTAGGGACTACTTGGTTAGGGAGGGTTTGTTATTCCGTTTGGTTTTACGGTGGTTGGTCTGAAGAACGCTTGTGAAGACACAGAAAAATAGAAACGCATGGCAAAATTAGCATGTTGTCGATATTTTACAGATCCACCCCCAACTATTTACAAATCATGTTTTCAGGGAAGCTTTTCTCTCATTTTTAAATTTTTTTTTTTAGCTTTCCTTCGTTCCCCTGTAGTTCACTCTGACTATATGACTATAGCTTCTTCTTTTCTGTTCTTTTTTTTTTATTATTATTATTTTTAAGTAAGCCTTTATTTATCAAGGACAGAATTTATTTATCTTTTTAAACCAGAACTCAAAAGTCAGAATGATTTCATCTACCATGTAGAAATAACGTTCAGGGCTTTGTAAAAATTGATGTAGAGGCAAATCAGTTGATTGAGTATAAATATATAGACTAGTTTCCCATTTACAAATGATCCAAGGATGGTAGAGGAGATAGATGATACAACAATGTCATAATGACTTTTTTAGTATTTGGAAAAAAAACTGTAAAATGACTATTTAGAGGTAAATTGGCAGGAAGTCACATGTCAAACTGCTCAGCAAGGTTTTCATCATTGATCCTGTAAAACTATTACAGTATTAATGCCATGAACAAGTTTGATTTGTCTTACCTTACTCATCAGTTTCTGTGCAAAACTCTCTTATCAAGTACGGTTTACAGTTTGAACTAGCAGAGTGGTTTCGTTCTTGGGATATCAACATTTTCTACAAATTACTTCTTCAGTTTGTGCAGTTTGTGCATGCCAATCTGCTTTGGTTTATAAGCTCGACATGCACACACAGCTCAGTGGGTTGTCGGTTGGAAAACCCGTCTGCATAAACTTGTAGCTTCCACTGAGACAAAAGGCCCTGACACGCAATAACAGGCGACGATGAAAGACATACAATCGCCATTGATGACAGTTGTGTTACTGTGGATGTGACACTCAGTCACAAAGACTGTTGTTACAGCTGTACAGGAGAGGAAAGGCAAACAGTTGACCTGATGTGTGTGTGTTTTTTTTATGTATCTCTAACCAGGTGGATGACCAGATGAAGCTGCTGCAGAACTGCTGGAGTGAACTCCTCATCCTCGACCACGTCTTCCGGCAGGTGGTGCATGCCAAGGAGGGCTCCATCCTATTGGTCACTGGCCAGCAGGTGAGTCATTGATGGCCCACCCTTAAAAAAAATTTCCTTTTACTCTTTTCCTCCAAAATCCTGCCAACCTTGTGTTCCCATCACCCCCTTCACAACTCAACATCCCTTAAAGCTCTATTGATTTCTACCACACAGTCGTCTCCGCTTCATTAAAAATAAATAGCGCCAGCAGATCTAAACTAATGTCACCAAAATCATTAATTTTGACATTTTTGCAACAGCGAAAAAGAAAAGTAATCGGATGCGCGTGATGTAGCATCGTGAGTGGGTGGAGAGATTTTAAAAAATGTGTCTAAATGTGTTATTTCGTTTTACTGGGGTCTTTGAGGAAGTTGGCGGGAGCTGATGCCCGAGGCCCCAACAGAAGTCCTCAAAATACAGTATCAGGATACCGTGTGCTAATTTCTGTTTCTGCTTCACACACACACACACAGAGCATGCTGTCAAACAGTAAACACGCAAACCCAAAGCAAGCAGAGCAGACTCTTTCAGCGTTCGGTGATTCTCATAATCTCCAGCGCACAAAGGCGAGAGCAGACACACAAAGGTGTGAAACTGCTCATCATGAATATGCCTCTGACCAGTCGCATGGCTGTCAGTGAGATGAAGAGTCATACATTATTGATTGTCTTGCCTCTCCAAAACATTGCTGTGCAACAAAATGTTTTACAACAATAGATGCTGGTATAAATATTGGAGCAAGGCGTGTGCATGTGCGCCGCATGCAGGGGAGTCCTTTTAAATTCCCTCAATCTGAATGAACGCCCTGAAAGACAAGGTCAGGATAGACTTACAGAATAGGTGAAGACCTGTGGTAGGCAGCCATTACTACTACAGTAGGAGCAAGTACAAATCATGGTAAATATGAGAGTAGAAGTAATGGAACTAATATCTAATATGGGCTTAAACAAGTACAAGTCTGGCAGTGTCGCCAAGCTGATCTAGATCATTCTGATGTAGGACAAAGGAGCTGATGTTTGAAGGAACATGAAAAGAAAGGACTCAAAGAGAATGAGAAGTATTGAGGAAACAGGTAGTGGAGAGAGGGAGAAATGATGGAGGAAGGAAGAGTGGTTGCCAATTGATAGAAATTGACGGAGGGAGAAGACGATGGAGTGATGAGGAGAAAATGTGAGAAGAAAAGTGGAGGAAAAGGGAGAAGTCGAGTAAAAGGAGAGACAGTAAGTAAAAGAAAGGAGGCAGAATAAGGTGAAAGGAGGAAAAAGGAAAGGAGCTGAGGAGGGATCGGTGAGGAGATGATGAGGCGAAGCGGACGAGGCAGTTTGAAGAGACCAGAGAGCTGCTGAGGAGGAGGAGGAGGAGGAGGAGGAAGAGGAAGAGGAGGGGCTGGTAGTCAGGGGAGGCGCAGGGTGGCGGTTTCGTTTGCATACTTTGGTTAATGAACAGCTGGTGTTGAGGGGTGTGTGTTTGTGAATGTATGAGTGTGTGTGACCGTGTGTGTGTGTGTGTGTGAGAGAGAGGCTCTGAAACAGTTCATTATCTCCTATTATTCTCTGCCTGGCCAGGGGTGACAGCACAGCGATAATACCAGGGATATTTAAACCACAGCAACAGCATCACCCAAAGCAAACAGTACAGAAACACACAGGCGCACAAATGACGGTTTGAGCGAACAAACTACACTCTCCATTGACACAACATGTGTCTGTAATGGGCTATGTGTTTAAAACTGTGGGGGTTTTGGAGAACACTGCAATGCCATTTGACAAATGTCTGATTTTAATATGAGACAAGGTGCAGTTCCATGATATTATGACATTAATGCCTCAGTAAAAAGAAAAAAATATGAACTTTTTAAAGCCTGTCTTGTTTAGTTATACCAGAGATTTTCTATATTCTTAGGATCTTATCTGAAGTCCTCAGAAAGTGATATTAAGCTTCATAGAGGTAAAGATTTCTTAAAGTCAGTCTTGTAATTTTGTGGCATTAACCAAAGCAAACACTGACAGAAAATGCACCTAAACAGTGACTGAAAAGGCGAGAAAATGTTAAAAGAATACCAAAAAACCGGACATGAACACCTGTCTTTACACTCACGAGCTATGTGACATGAAACTTTTGAGTCACATGATTTGGACGCAGGCCAACAGCTTGTATATATAACTAACAAAATGCAGGGCTGTTTCTCCCCAAAAGCTGAATGTTGGTGCAAAATTCTGGATTTAGAAAGAAGCTTTTGCTCTTAATTGTGAACAGATACTGTAGTTTTTTTTCTTCAATAGCTAAAATGTCAAGGTTGGTGCTTTATAAATATGAATGTAAAATGCAGCATATCTCTGCATGCACACACACCAGCACATTATGAAGGGCATGTCAAAAGATGTTATGACACAAAGCAGCCATTTAGGAAAGCCATAGCCCATATTTATTTCATTGTTATACTGCATGAATGTCATTTTGTCCTCTAAGTTAAAATATATTTAATAATTCTTAATATTGTGAATCATTGCATGTAAAAAAAAAAAATCACAAAGTTTGTGTTAGGAACAACCCAGATGTCATCAGAAAGAGATTTTATTTATTTATTTTTTTTTAGAAAAATGCAACTTTTGGACAGAAACTTTGAATTTGAACAGATGTGTCGTTGCTTCTTCTTTGTATCAAGCTGTGCCTTTGCTCTTGCCAGTTATACACAACACTGACATTTGAAAAGAAATCCACTGAACTAGCTGATTAACTGTTATAGCCTGTCATTTGCTTCATGTCTTGCTCTTGTCCTTATGTTCCCTGTTCCTCGCTTGCTAATTCCCATCTTTTTTTTTTTCTTCTTCTTCTTCTTGTTTTCTGTCTATTTCTACTGCTGCATGTTGTCATGTCACCAACAGCAGTGAGGAATGGCCATGAGTGCTTGTTCTTTATCCTGTCATTGGATCAAACACGCAGTGCAACTTGTACAAATGTGCGCAAACGTGGAATGACAAAAAACTGGACCGATCTGTTGAATGATTAAGCAAGGCCTCACAGCTTGGCAGTCGGTTTCAGTATCAATCTTGATACTTTGATAGCACGACGCTCCTGGTGAGCATGAAATTCAAATGATGAAAAAGAAAAAAAAAAAAACAGACGTTCTTCCATCACTCATATATTTCTGTGCTTTCAAACAAGGTACATTTTCCATCTGCATCTCCCGCCCACATTAGCGCACTCTTAGCATCAAACTAATCTCGTCGTCCACATTTATCTTTAATGTTCTGCTAAGATCGCTCATCGCATTCATGATAGGCTAAGATTTGAAGGTTTATTCATATATTTACCCTCTATGTCTCTCCAGGAGGGATAATAAAGTAGTATTGATTGATTGATTGATACGCAGGTCACCAGAGTCAGAGTTAGTGCTAAGTCTGCTATAGTGACATTATAGCATCTTTTTTTCTTCTCTCTTTTTACTTAAGGCTGGGAGGCAATAACCCAAGGCATCACCATCAACAGTCCAATCCTTCAATGAACTTATTTCATGCACAGTTGATTTTATGTAAATTGATTGACACCTTGGAAGGGGGGCAGTGTCTGCTTTTCACAGAGCCATAACTCTTTCCGTCTCGAAGGTGGTGGGAAGGAAAGAGAGAGGGACAAAGGAGTTGGGACAAAGTGGGAGAGAGCGGTGCAGTAAAAGCATGAGGCAGGAAATAGAGGAGGGGGGGGAACGGCAGAGGATGAAAACCTGGTGCACTGTCAACATTTACTTCACGTTGACCCTTTTCTATTTGAAACAGATGAAAAAGATGAAAAGGGGGGCTCCAATCATCCTATTTACACAATAAATAAATTCCAAACCCAGGGCTGTTTTTAATTGCAAATGGGAGCTCGCAGGGAACCTTTTCCTCCCAGAGCTTTAGGAACTGCGCACGCCAACATCTACCTTCCCCTGGAAACCCTTGCACAGTCAATTATGGTAATGAATCGTCAATAAATATAAAAATTTAATATGGTCCTGCTTACTGTGAGTGGCAGCTAAGGACTTGCCTCCCAGACAAATATGCTGCGGCTGCAGATATGAAGTACACTTGAAAAAGGAGTGTGTAAGTGTGTGTTTATGTGCAATTGGATGGATGACTTAGATTTAAGGAAGATTGGATTACCGGGATAATCTATCTATCTATCTATCTATCTATCTATCTATCTATCTATCTATCTATCTATCTATCTATCTATCTATCTATCTATTATTGTTGCGGTACCCT